CTCAACCCTTGACTCCCAAACTGTGTAATGGGGGCATTGATAAGTGTCGCAGTAAGAATAGGGCTTTGGTGTGCATTATCTGTTTGGGTTGAACACGTTCTTGAGCTCTTGTAGCTGTGGAACTCGGAGCCGGGGACTTTGTGGAACCAGGGCCGCACTTCCCCAAAGTACCCCTCGTGGTTTACACTCTCGCAACTCGGACACAGCCAGACGAGGTTCTTGGTGCGCATGGTCAGACTAGGCTTTAGGGTGACTGAGTGTTGCAAGTTTGCTGAGCTCTTGTCAGGGGACCTCACGAACTATCATGGCACCTTATATAAGCGAAAGTCCTTGCAAGCTGTACATAACCGTCGACCTACGAAACATCGAGCCGTTTGAAACCTCACAAAGGATTTCAGTTTCTGCCCTGCTGAGCCAGCAACACTCCATGATCGCTTTGTTTGTCAGCCTGAGCACAAGGTCCAGGGGGGGTGGGGGGTTAGGGTTCCCAAAGACTCCAATATCCCTTAAGCATATTAGGGATCCTCAGATAATTCCAGGTATATTCCTTAATTAAGGGCTTAATCTAATTTCAAGCATATTCCTTCATTAAGGGCTTTATCTAATTTCAGGTCTATTCCTTAATTAAGGGATTTTGGAGTCTCTGGGTTTAGGGTTTCGGGGGGCAGCGGGTCACCACCACCACCAGCCAGATCCTACGGCCAGAAACAGGCGAGAAGAAACCCAGCAAGTTGCATTTGGAAGATTCATTCCGATACCCTCTCCGGGACTACTATGGAGTGTACCTATATACAGACACTTGAATATACATTATTATCTTAAGCCTTACTTGGAGGTTCATGGGTAGCTATAAGTAGGGTTATAAGCAGGCAAACCCTACTTATGACCCATATTTGGGGACATATAACTCCACTTACAACTACCCATGAACCTGCAAGCACCCTATCCGAGAGTCCAGTTCTGGTAGAAGCCGGAAAGTTGGAACACCAGTCTCCTCCTGCTCTGAAGGAAAGGTACACGGGATCCCAGCACTGATCATCCTAAATCCGAGTTCCAACTTTCTGGGACTCACTATCTATTGATAATGGCTCACAGGATTCTTAACCCTTTTAAACCCCGTTATGTAAGCTGCAGCTTCATCTCCTTCTGCAAGCCCGTGTGGGTTTGCAGCGTCGCTGTGGTTGAAGCAAGGTTTTGTAATTGCTGTAGATCCCTGAAGGATAAACCTTCAGGCCTGTCCCATAACTGGCCCACAACAAGAGTATGATAGGAGTATATAGGGATCGTGTAGTATTACGGCCTTTGAAGAAGGGTGTTTATCAATGAGGGGTCTACATTGAAGGTCTAGGGTCCTCCATGTTTGGTGGTTCAACTCCTCAAGGAAGCATTCCATCCTGGTGCGTTTACAACTTCTGGTATAGCAGACATACCCCGAAACCCTGTTCTGGTTACGGCCCCTATCTTATACCGCTTGCTGTTACGAGATGCGCGCTCTGCAGTTTATTCCAAGTGGCAACGAAGAGGAAGGCGCTTCAGGTGTCCACCGTGCCGCGCCGCCCGCGCTCCAACCTTTCTGGTCGAACGCCTATTGTGCTAGACTATTTGATGTCGAGAGGCATCGAAGATGTCGCAAGGAAGTCCCCAGTATACTTCTTCGTGAAGAGAACATGCGTCAGATTTCACTTAAGGAGAACATTTGCAGCTGCCTACCACCTATCCGGAAGTCCTCGAAAGCCCAGGACAATGGTGTGTGCAGAGAACACTGCTGACAATGTCAGTATCACCATCATGCGCGGAGCTCCGAGGGTTTGTTCTGAGGTTTGCAAACCTTTGAACTGACTCTACGAGGCATCGAGTAGGCGAGCCGACAAAATCAAGATTGGATACGTTGCCACGGGTAGGTTTGGTCACGGTTTGGTCTGAACCCTTTTGCCCTACCTTTTTGTTGGGTCCTCACTCTAATTTACCTGTATGACTTCTTAGCAAGGTAAGTAGTTTTTAATGTCTAGGCAGGGCTTTGGGCTTATAGGCTGTGCAGGGTGTGGTTGAAAGGTGACGATGCCTAGCCTTTTGAAAAAACGCACGCATCAACACAACTGCCAACCATGTTCGTGAAAAACGAAGGCCTTCCACCAGCCACAATAACGAAAACAACACAACCAAGGCAACCTAGAGAGCATGAATCCATTACTTAAACTTCTCTCTCCCCCGGACCTGAAAACAACAAACATCGTCTCCACAGTTCCAGTAGTTCCTTTTTGAGATTACCTTGTAGGAGTCTAACCCTAAAACGGAGCTACAATGAAGCCTATAGATAGCCCGTTTTAGAAGCCTTGTAGTAGCGCTTAAAGAAACCTTATAGTATCCCTTAGTGTAACCCTGAAAGACCTTATAGCAACCCTTACCGCAACTAAGACCCGAAAGCCTTCATCCGTGGCGACTTCCTTTGAGGCCACGGCGTGCGGAGCTTCGTTGTTCCGGCTTCTCCTCTTCCTGGCAGAAGGGTCTTGAGGGTTTCAGGGTTTAGGGTTTAGGGGTTTCGACGTTTAGGGTCAAAACCAGTCATCTAACACGATTTTACAAGGCTTGTAATGGTGGCTCACTCGGAGTTGAGTTGTCCTATTGTATCTCGCTCCCCCTCGGCACTTGACAGTAACTGTTGAGAGTCAAGGTTTCGTATGTGCTCTGGATTAAGTAACAAAGGAGTTCTAGGGATTGTTCAGCGGATTTCAGCGGCACTAAAGGTAGTCGGCCCTCGTGCCAAGACCTGTCGCATTCTTTATGGGAATGGAACAACTATCGCGACATCCTTGTGTAAGTTATGCAAACTCGAAACTCGAAAGGTTTCCGGGTCCAGGTTTTGGGTCGATTGAACGTGTGAGGCTCTGGTATGAAAGACCTTACAGGAGCCCTGTCCCCTACAGCAAACCGAAGTCATACAGGATGCCCCCACCATGCTGGCAGTGTGCGGAGGGCAGAAGACAGCCGCATAGATACCGACACCGATTGAAGCTCACGGAAAAGCGCCACTTGAACACGCAAGAACGATATCCCTGGAACTGTAGCTATGTAGCTGCAGAATTTGAACACCTCATAGACAGAAGTGCGGCGAGGTCCAATCAGCATGCCGGAGCCTGGCTCTACTGCGACATGTCTTTTTGTACAGGCGCAAGCGGATAGTCTTGTTCCCAGAGAGCTCCCGAATTTCAGTGTTTACATTGAGTCAAAGACATAGGGCTTAGGGTTTGGGGTTAGCTCTAGATCCTAAAGATCGCGGGTGCTTAGCATGACGTAAGCAATCCCCGAGAGCTGCCGAGACGCACATCAGTGTCCAACAAACGTAGTTCTACGGCTGATAGACAAAATCCAGCATTACCCATAAGAAGGAATATACCATAATTCCCATAGTTTAGGGTCCTTGGGGTAATGCAGGATTTTGTCCATCAGCAGTATGAATGGAGGCTCAAACTTGATGCATAAGTGTCTTAGCATATAGAAAGGGGTTTTGGATGTATCATAATACCGATACAGGCCTTCATAATCAGACCAGGGTATGCGGGGATTACTATGGAGTGTACCTATATACAGACACCTGAAGATGCATTATTATCTTAAGCCTTACTTGGAGGTTCATGGGTTGTTATACGTAGGTAGGGCTTGAAGTAGGTTAACTACACTTATCACCCATATTAGGGGACTTATAACCCCACTTATGACTACCCATGAACCTCCAAGTAAGCAGAAGCCAGGCGGCCCAACAAGACTTTCCCTGCCTTCCCCCTTCTCGAGGCCTCCACTCTAAACAATCTGCTCTAGAGCTGCGACAAAAAAACTCAACTCGTCGAAGAATCGTGGTGTAGAGTTTTAGCACATATTCTTCGACATTTATGAGACATTATGTGATATGAATATGAATAGGAACATTAGTATAAACAAATACACATAAGTACATATCTCTCTCTATATATATAGATATGTATGCGATCAGGGTCAGGGGTTCTGAAAACTGCTTGGTTTGCAGCTTGCAGTTGCTGGGATGATTAGCAGCAAGCGAAATCAAATCAAAGCTCCCTTGGGCGACTGTGATGCGAGTACCGAATTTGATGCGGCTGTTCTAACTCAGGTTGCGCCCGATGCCGGTGTTTGCGTAGGAGCCTGCTGCGATAAGCTTAGAAGATAGCCGACAGGCGGCGTAATTTCGCAAAGCATAAACCCAGAACATTGGGGCCTTAAGAATTAGCCAAACTATTTCGAGGGCTCCTTATAATTATTAGAAGTAATTGTAGAACAACGTCCCCAAAACACAAGCGGAACCTTGTTGAAACCTAAACCGACCCGGCCTTTGTCTAGAGCAAGCCCCATGTGGGTGGGGACTTTTGTGTAGCTCCCGAAGGACTACGACGTCCTAGCGAGCCTCATCCTAAAACAAAAATCCGCCCTTGAACTTTGAATCCTTGACTCCTAATGGCCTAAAGGGAGCATTGTAAACGACCGGCAAGGCCCTACGCAAATGAAAACTCTACACCGGCACTATATAGGGCTGAACAACCTGTCTGTGCAGCCACTGGCTGCTTGTGGCTCAGTGGTTCTTTGAGTCCGCACGGCTTCAAGCCCGTGTGTCGTGATTCAGGCTTTGCGATATCTGGTCTACCGAACCCTACTTAACTGTCTTTTTGAGGCTTCCTGACTATGATGTCCCTGGCAAAAGCACTGAAAGCTCCAGAGTTTTCGAGTCCACGTAGTGGTTAAATCCAGAGGCTGCAACGAAACAACAAAAATCAATGAAATCATAGTCCCTAAGGGTCCATGTACCCATATAAAGGTACATGGGCCCCAAAGTACCTATATAGGGACTACATTAAGGCCAATGTATATACTATATGAGTACATGGACCCTTAAGGAGTGTTCATCGGAGCTGGTGCCTGGTGCTGAAGAGCTCACGAAAGACCTATGCAAGCATTTGCCAGCACTCCTTTTCCTGCGCCATCGCCCTTGAGCCATGTCCAGCATGGCGATCGCTTTCAGTCAAGAAAACATCCGATGCACCGAAGGACAGGCAAGCACGGAGCCAGGCCTCCCTACTGCGGCGGCCCCTACAGCGAGTGAGAAGCAAGAGTGGAGTGATGCTGAGTGGCGAAGCTGGAGCCCTTCCTGGTGGGGATCAGGTTGGGGCTCATGGCAGTGGCGAGAGAGCAGTTGGGCTCCAGGTGGCCACTGGAATGGCTGGCAGGGGTCAGCCCAGCCGAGTCAGTCAGCGGATGCTGGCGCGCCAGGCCCTGGGGGGTCTGAAGCTGGTCAGCGGCAGGACTCCAATTGGGATCCATGGGCGGCAGCGGCGGCGGCAATCACTGCTGCGGCGACGGCTCAGGACCGAGCACGACCTGGCGATTCCGCGCAAGATCCAGGAGCTCCCAGTGGACGAGGACCCCTAGAAGTACCTGATTCTGCTCAAGACCATCGTGGTCACTCATGGAGAAGCTGGGGTGACTCCTGGCAGGACCCTTGGCGCTGGCAAGGACCGGGCGCGAAGGGCGACTACTCGGACCCTCCGGCCTTCCCTGGATGGTCCCATCGGCGCTACTGGACGGCAGCTATTCGGCGATGGAACAAGAACACCGATATCCCTTTGTTCCGTCGCGGAGAAAAAGTTCTACGGTGCCTAGGATGGGAGCTTCAAGCAGACATGGAGCACATCACGGAGGCCGAGCTCGGTGAGCACGACTACCTCGAGAAGATCCTCAAGGTCTTGGATGCGAAGGCTGGTGTTCGCCAGGATGACGAGAAGCGGCGAGCATTCAAGGCTGTCATGACCGAGAACCAGCGAAGGCGGGATGAGTCGTTGTCTCAGTACTCTCTTCGCAGGACTCAGGATTTTCAGCGGGCAACTACGTATGGCTTTGTCCTCCCTCGCGAGCTTCAGGCTGCGATGCTACGTGAAGGAGCCAGTCTTAGCGAGCAGAACCTGCAGAACCTTACGGCCCTCCTGCAGAAGGATGACTCGGACCCTGACAAGGTAGCCAAGGGCCTGTGTCAGCTGGATGTTCGAACTGACAAGCTGATTGGCTTCGCGAACGGCGAGGTCCCCGCTGCCGGGTCAGATGCTCCGGTCTACTTGGCGGACGACGACGGGGACGACGACGATGAGCTGAGTGACGAGGAGGTCCTCGCTGAGCTCGAGGCCTTGGACTTGTTCGAGGACCAGGTGTGCGAGGTGTTCGCAGTGCTGGACGGCGGCGGCGGCTTCAAGAAGAAGCGCACTTGGAAAGAAAATCGTCTGATGAAGGCGGAGATGAAGAAGGACCGTGGGTCTTTCATCAAAGGAAGTGATGCCCCTCCGAGAGGCCACGGCGGAGGACTACCTGGAGGTCGCGACGGAGCTCGCGGCCGAGAGTGGCGCGGAGGCGGCCGAGGACGAGGCGGCATGTCTCGTGAGCAGCTCAAGAAGATCTCAAAGTGTCGCGGATGTGGTCAGAAAGGACATTGGGTTGCAGAGTGTCCGAATAAGGGCAAAACGGCGGCTGTCAGTGGCTTTGTGTATGCTCCGGAGCCAGCCTCTGCTCAGGCGGTGGCCTTCTCTTTCCTTTCCCGGCGAGAGCTGTACGAGATCGTCGGTGAGATCCAAGCTGCTCCTCAGGACCGCCCGAGCTGTCCCAATTCTTCTGTGTGGAGTTTCCTGACGATGCCTTCCGGAGACGCCATCGTGGACACTGGAGCAACCCAGGACTTGATCGGGTCAACGGCTTTTGTGGCGCTGAAGCACCGCCTGAAGGACGTGGGCCTCCAGCCCATCAAGGTGGACGTGAGCTGCGCGGTGCCATCTGGCATCGGGGGAAAGGCCACTGTGGAGCAGGTGGTCTTGGTTCCGATCTCACCAGGTGGATGTGCCGGCGTTCTTCAGATGGTTGTGCTGACGGCTGATATCCCTCCCCTCTTGAGCATCGGCTTTCTCGATTTTATGGGAGGGATCATAGATCTGCCAGCTAAGGAACTCCGGCTTTCAAAGTATCAGACGGCGGTCCCGCTCAAAGAGCTCCCGTCAGGCCACAGATCTATCCCTTTGATAGAGTGGACCGGCGGCAAGTTCGAAGTTCCTGCCCCGATCCGCGAGAAGTTCGGCTTGCCTTTTGACGCTTTCAACCTGAAGGCAATGTCTTCGTCCGAGTACACAAAAGACGGAGCGAGCGGTAGTCAGCCAGAGGGAGTGAAATCATGCATTTCAGTTCCGGTGAGTGCAGTTCGGCAACAGTGTCATGTGCACTTTGAACAACCTGCCGAACTCCTGTCGACAGTTGAGCCTGCCCCACTCAGTGCAGAAGCGGAGGAATCAGTTACTCAAACCGATCCGGTGGGCTCGAGCCGAAGTTCGATGCAACCTTCAGCAATCACCCTCGCCCCGCTGACTTGTGAGCATGGACCGGGCGGCAGCTTTGTCTCCTCCGACGAAATGCTGGCGGGCGATGGTGTCGCGACTTTTGATCATCCTCGAGTCCAGCAGGCTCATGTACTTCAAGCTGGCGATGGCCGAGCGTGCGAAGAAGACCCGACAAGGGCGCTTGAAGTATGTGACCGCGGACGAGAGCGCGGCGGGCAGCTGCATCCACCCGGCGAACCGGATCATTCGTCGGGGAAATCAGTGGGCGAGCTGGCAAGTGTGCACCCAGTGCCAGGCTCGAGTGGCTTACGCCTCGAAACCTCGGGGAAAAGCTGCAGCCAAGGCGAAGGCCAAATCGAGGTCCTCAGCGAATCCGGTGCAGAGCGAAGGATCCATGGGGAAGGAGACCGAGCCAGTGGAGTTCCAGCCATCTTTCCGTCGCTCAACGACTCCGGCGGCAGCGAGCTCTACGGTGACGCCGGACCTCCAGGTGATGATGCAGGCCTTCATGGCGGGGATCCAGCAGCAGAGTGCCGACATGAACCGCGCCATGGACCAGATCAACAGCTCCCTGCGAGAGTTGGCTCGCGGACAGAGCCAAATGATGATGATGGGCGGCGATCTGGCCGCTTCCTCCAGCTCGGGAGCGACGACGAGCCTACAGCAGCAAGCCGAGCAGCTAGCCCGAGTGGCGATGGAGGTGGACCTGTCGGACGAGTGGGACGAGGTGAATCCCAATGCCGAGGATCTCGGCAGCCCATGATGAGGTGGCCGCTATGGGTCACGACCTCTTTGCTCTCCTTGTCTTCGGCATTGGCGTGGGAGCAATGTGAGCCCGGGCTGCAGGATCACCTCAGTACCAAGGCTGTGCCAAGCTGGGTTTTGTACCAAGAGAGGGAGAAAGCAATGGATAAGCTCCCACCCGGAGCGCGGCTCGTGGAGTCGTCTGACCACTACATCACTGAGAATGTCCCGACGGCGCTCCACCAAGTCCTCTACGGCATTCCCAGCGACGAGGTCCCGAGTGGATGGAAGGGCGTGATCCAGGAGGTTCGGGCTGCAGATGGTGCTCTTCTGTACCGGGGGACCACCGAAGGCTGCTCGGACGAGGAAACCCGAGCCGCCGGAAATGCCTGGACCTGGCTGTTGCCAGCAAGGCTGGCCCATGGATGGTGTACCCTCGGCAAGCGCGGCCACGTGGAGGTTCTGAACGCCGAAGGTCAGGTGAGCTCTATGGGACCGATCTGGATCTTCTTCGACCGAGAACGCGAGCTTCAGAGAGTTAGCGATGCGAAGATCGAGGAGGTCTGGCCTGAGGACCCTCTTCGTGGAGATGAGGCCCCTTGTCGCAAGCAGTTACTGGAGGCGTTTGCAGGTCAAGCTCGCGGTGACTGCCAGGTGGACTACCTCGAGATTTTCACTAAGACACCGCTGCAGGATTGCGTGCGGCGGAAAGGGCTGCGAGTTGGTCTTCTTGGAGATGAGGCGGAAAATCTGACTGCGGCTGGCCGCACGGCCGTCCGAGAGGGGTGTTCATCGTTGAGACCACGAATTCTGGCAGCACGGTGGGAGAGTGAAGGTGACGGTCCTCAGGATCGGCGATCAGCTGTTCGAGACCGACTTCGACAAGGGCTTTTCTCAGAAGTTGCCGAGGAACAAGTTCGTCGTGGCCATCACTTCCTCGTGGACTACCCTCTCCCTCTGGTGGATCCTGTGGAGCAAAAGGTAGGTGCAGTCTGCGATCATCGGTTCTCTGCCCTGATTGAGTCTCACGCGCACCAGGTCATTGTATGCCATCAGCATGGTCAGCCAAGGCGCATGGCATCCTCGTTTGCGGCAGGAGATCTCCTAAAAGAGAGGGTGAGCTCCGCAGAAGTGCTTGAGAGAGGTGCTCCTCTTGGTGATCGTTCGCGAGAGGAGCGGATGGCAAAGGAGCTTTTAGATGCCAACGACTTCTCTTTTGCGGCTTGCCAGGACTTGATCGATTGCACCAGTCTTCCATCTCGAACGACCAGTCGGAGTGGGATGCCGGAGACCGTGCAGGGCAAGCTCATGTGCACGTTCGGGCTGTTCAGCCATGGAGGAGTGTGGGGAGTAACTCGACAAACAAAGCTTCGTCCCCACTTCACGAACTACATCAACAGCTTCCTCGACTGGCACGGCGCCGGCGGCCCCAGAACGAGCTTCTCTGTGAATACCGGAGTTGGGCTTACCATGCACCTGGACAAGTACAATCTTCCTGACACCAGGAACTCCTTGATCACCTTCGGGAAGCACGCTGGCGGCCGGTTGTGGGCCGAGGATGCATGCCAAGTCACTGGCGGCAAGATCAACGAAAGGAGCTCTCGGAAGTCTCCTTCCGGCCAGGTCCTCTACGGTCACATGGTGAATACCTACCAGAAGATGGCGACGTTCGATGCCCATTACTACCACGAAGTGGAACCTTGGACCGGCTGTCGTTACAGTGCAGCCTGCTGGGCCAACGCCTCTGTGGCTAAGGTGGATAATCGTACCCGTCGAAGGCTCAGGACACTTGGCTTCCGGCTTCCCCGCGCGTCTGGCCCGGGAGGTCCCAAGATTGGTTCGGCGCGGCCGGACGGGCTCTGCGAAGCCGTGCTGGAGGCTTGCGCCGCACACGCATCCGGGTCTACCTGTCCCTCTGCGAGACCGCTGTTTTCCTTCCCGTCAGTCCCAGATCCTGAGGATGAGAATGAGATGGAGGAGGGAGACGAAGTGCAGTCGGATCCAAGGGCAGAGGAAGCTCCACCGCTCCGGGTGACTGAGAGTCAGAAGCGGTTGGTTCACAAAGTTCATGTGAACGTGGGACATCCTCCAAAGGCCAGGTTCTTGCGAATGATGAAGGCAGCCGGGACGTTGCCCCACGTGATGCACTACATCAAGAACGACTACGAGTGCGACCAATGCTCCATTCGACAAAGACCGGATCACAGGCATCGGGCACGGTGTCCTCGCAACTATGAGTTCAACCGCATGTTGTCGATCGACGTTTTCTACATCAAGTTTGGGATCTACCAAGTCCCGATCCTCAACATGACTGACACTGGGACGTGTTATCAGGTTCTTCAGAGGCTGCCTATCGCGACTGGCGGCCACGGAGGCACCCCGACCTCGGATGCAACCTGGAGGGCTTTTCTGGCCACATGGATTCGCTTCTTTGGCCCTCCCGAGGTCCTTGTCTGTGACTCTGGATCCGAGTTCAAAGCACACTTCGAAAGGGGATGTGAGGGTCAGGGTATTTTGCAACATGTCGTCCTACCAGAAAACCCCTGGAAGAACGCCATCAGCGAGCGACACGGCGGCTTCATTAAGCACCGCCTTGATCAGGAATTGTCTTCAGGAAGGGGCGTGCTCCAAACTTGGGAGGACTTGGACGACTTCTTGCACGAGATGGTCTCAGTAAAGAACCGATGGCTGAGCCGAGGTGGAGTGTCTCCGACTCAGTTGGTGTTTGGCAAAATGCCTCGGATCCCCGGTGATCTCCTTAGTGACGACCACACTGGGCTGATGGCATTGCATGATGCGCTTGAGGACCCTCTTGGAACCGATCAGGCAGCAGCTGAGTTCAGGAGACGAATGGAAGTGCGAGAGAGAGCCAGGCAAATCACCATGGCCCAGGCATCCCGAGAGGCGGTCCAGCGTGCTGTTAAAGCTTCTACCCATCAATCTCGGAGGTTCTATGCGGGCCAATGGGTATACTGCTTCCGACGGGGTCGTCCAGGTGATCCTCTTCATCCTCGAGACCGGTGGGTTGGTCCTGGACTGGTGGTTGTGGCCAACAACAGCACGGTCTATGTTGGGATGCGGACGAGGCTCTGGAGATGTTCCCCATCCGATCCTGGAATGTCGGAGCTCATCCGCCGGGTGATCTCAGGCTCTACGGCTCGAGCCATTAACGTTGCCCGAGAAGGAGCTCCACCTGACGGTGCAGCGGTTGCTCCTGTTGACCGAGAGAACGCGGAAATTCCGTTGGCGGGCGAGGCCCCTCAGGCTGCTGCCGAGGAAGTGGTTCCAGTTCCTCCTGGCCTACTTCCTCCTGGACTACCTCCTCCACCTGGTGATCTCCCTCGTGATGATCTAGACCGCGCTGATGGACGAGCTCAACATGCTGAAAATAGGCAGCGAGGTCAGGCAGCTTCTGAGTCCTCCCGCAGGTCCTCAGCTTCTGAGCCAGCTGGAGAACCTCCGAGTCAGGACTTGGAGCCCCTAGAGACCATTCCCGAAGGCAGGACGGCCTCCCGAGGTCGAAGAGCCGGCCCGCAAAGTACCGAGGACTGAAAGTCCGCCTGGAACCCGAGCCCCGGGTACACCCATGGGGCCCTTGCTGCGAGCGGTGCAGAATGCGGTCCGCCCAGAAGCCGAGGTCCCCTCTTCATCTTCTTCTCTGACGCCTACGGAAAATCTTCCCGGTGAGCATCGCGTGGGAAGACAGGTTCGAGAGTGGGAGGAGGTCACCGCCCAGAGAGCTCGAGAGCGGACGCCCCCGCCATCTCAGCGAGATGGAGATGATAGCTCCGAGGACCTGTGGGCCACTTTCGAGCAGGAAGGATGGTCCGGGAGCTTCTACAACTACCGTCAAGGATCTCAAGAGCTGGGCACGGATGCTTCCGGAGAGTGGACGTGGCTGGCCAAGCGCAATGACGAGGTGTCCTTGAAGCAGCTGGCAGCGAGCGAGAGGGAGATGTTTGCGAAATCCGATCTCCTGGAGTGGCAGAGCATCCTGGACTCTAAAGCTGTTAAGGTCCTTTGTGGAAAACAAGCAGCAGAAGCACGAGCCAGGCACCCATCTCGAATTCTCTCGAGCCGTATGGTGAGGCGAAAGAAGCCAATGCCCGGGCTGGGCCAATGGAAGCCCAAGAGCAGGTGGTGTATCCACGGACACCACGATCCGGACACGGGGTCCCTGGTCACGTATTCACCTACTCCGGCTTCGGAATCTCTTATGCTCTTCCTCCAGGCCTCGATCAACCTCCAACATGTTCGGGCTTTCGCGGACGTCAAGGCCGCCTTCACTCAGAGCCTGCCGATTCGCAGGCCAGCCGGGCCGATTTTCGCCGAACCCTGTGAGGGCTTGAGCCTCCCCGAAGGGGCACTGATAGAAATCCTTGTCCCAGTATATGGGTTAGACGATGCGCCAGCTGCCTGGCGCGAAACAGTGACCCAATACCTGGTCGAGGAGGAGGGCTTCACTCGAAATTTGGTTGAGCCCTGCTGGTTCTCCAAGTTCGTTGCCGGCTCGAGTACCTGTGTGGCCCAAGTGCTTGTCGAGGTGGACGACTTCATTGTCAGTGCGAACCCCGACTTTATGCCAGGGCTTCGAACAAGTATGCAGAAGAGGTTCCGATTTGGAAAGTGGGAGGATGGGTCAGCGGAATATGCTGGCCGTCTCATTGAGGACAAAGGTGACCACCTCTCTGTGTCCCAGGAGAAGTACATTCTTGAGCAAGTGACTTCGGTGACCCTCTCAAGAGAACGCAAGCGGCAGCCCGATGAGCGTCTCTCCCCCTCGGAGTTCGAATCTTTCCGCTCTCTTGTGTACAAGTTGAACTGGCTGGGACGTGAGACTAGGCCGGAGGCAGCCGGTGTCGCATCCATCATGGCCTCGAGGCTCCAGGTTGCCAGCATCAAGGACGTGATGGTGGTGAATCGATTCGTGAATCACCTTCGCAACACCGCCAATCGTCCCTTGAAGATTTGGCGGTTTGGCCCTGATTCTATGGCCTTTGTGGCGGTCTCGGATGCCGGTGGCGTGAACACCAAGGAGACTTTGCTTGACGACGAAGGCCTTCCGACTGATGCGACCCAAGGAGCTTGGCTTGTGCTCACCGCGGAGGCGTTACCAGAAGGAGATCGCCGGGTTCGTGCAAGCCCTATGTCCTGGAGGTCCTCGAAACTTAAAAGAAAAGTCTTCAGTACGGTCGGAGGCGAGACGCAGGCCATGCTTCAAGGGGTGAACGAGGTCGAGTGGATGCAGGTAATGTACAGAGATGGAGTTTTCCATGATGTTCAGCTGCGCAGCTGGCAGGAAAGCCTGAGGCCGCACATGCTTGTGATGAAGGGCGAGCACCCTGGCGGCGGCCGCAACCCTCAGTGTGTGGTGACAGACGCTAAGAGCTTGTTTGACTGCATTCTGAAGGAGCATCCCGCTGGACGTCAGGACAGAAAGTCTGCCCTCGAGCTTGCCATCATTCTTCGTGATTTGCAACGATCCAAGAGTATGGTGCGGTGGATCCCGCATCAAAAAATGATCGCAGATGGGCTCACGAAGGAAGACCCTTTCGCGGAAACGGTGCATTAGAACATTTTCTCCGCACTGGAGTTCTGAGCTTTGTAGATATGGAGGTTGAGCTTGAAAGACGGCGAACCAACCCCGAAGCTCGGAGTAGATCGGCAAAAGCCTCCATCAACAGGCTTCATTACGAAGATCAAGTGCAGCAGCTCTATAGCCTGTGGTTGGAGAGCTTTCAGTCAACCCTTATTGGGGGGGACTGTGGAAATGCACCTGTGCTGGCATAGTGCATCGGATGTTTTCTTGACTGAAAGCGATCGCCATGCTGGACATGGCTCAAGGGCGATGGCGCAGGAAAAGGAGTGCTGGCAAATGCTTGCATAGGTCTTTCGTGAGCTCTTCAGATGGTGGGGATCAGGTTGGGGCTCCAGCTTCGCCACTCAGCATCACTCCACTCTTGCTTCTCACTCGCTGTAGGGGCCGCCGCAGTAGGGAGGCCTGGCTCCGTGCTTGCCTGTCCTTCGGTGCTCGGAATGCTTTCGTCCATCGAGTCCAAGGAGGCCATACGGAACCAAGGCTCGCGCTACCAACTGAAGAGCTCACGAAAGACCTATGCAAGCATTTGCCAGCACTCCTTTTCCTGCGCCATCGCCCTTGAGCCATGTCCAGCATGGCGATCGCTTTCAGTCAAGAAAACATCCGATGCACTATGCCAGCACAGGTGCATTTCCACAGGTGGCTGCAAAGCAAATCCTAAACCGTGAACCGGAGGCTGTCCGCTTCATTGCTACTTACTTTAGCCGTGACGAAGTTGCGACAAACCTACGGACAAGCCCAGCACGCTGGGCCTACCGTGTCTTTTTATACTCCTTTGACAAAGTGTCCGCTGTTCTTCTTTCTTGTCCCTGAGAACTCATCACGTTCACACCTCGTGAAGTATACACTACACTAGAATTAACACCTGTATGATCAGGAACAGCTTGATAAGTTCTGAGACCCAGGGCACCCATTTGTGAAATCATCAGCCTTCTGACCCGATGCGACATGTTCTTGCCAAGGGAACTAGGCAATCAGCTCACGTCGCGCTAGAAACTCATAATCCAAAGTTAAACAGGCCGGTGGTCTCCTTATCTGTCCCCAATACTGCCTAGTATAGCCCTTAATAACGATCCCTATCTACAGCCCCTCAAAAAAGAAACTCCACGTAAAGGTAAATCCTAAGCCCTGTAAGATCTCAGCAATGACCTAAGCGAAGATGCTCAAGGAGAGGCCTTGAACGAGCCCAAGAAGCCCGATTACATGTTCAGCGGGTGGGTTGCTCTGCCGTAGAACCCCTGGGCAATAACTTGTAGTTGATTTTTTTGGGAAATCCTGTCGGTGGTGTTCAAGGCTCAAGAAGCTGGAAGCCAGGCGGCTATACGGGAAATGGACTTTTCATTCGAGCAATCAGAGCTGCCCCTCTCCGGACTTTTGATCACTGAGACGGAGGGATTTGGGAGCAGGGTTTAAGTCTTTTGTATAATGATGGACTTGTGCAAGGGTTTAATGTCTTTGTTTTGTCTACAGCTTGGTCACAGCGAAAAGCCCGTAGACTGCAGTGACAGATGCACAGATGCATCCATGGAAAACGAAGGGTGCAGGATTCGCCCCGCCCTCGACACCTGGAGCCTGGTAATATGGAGGCCTACATAACTACCGATGCTACTCTGTGGTTCCGATTATTAGAAGCTGTCTAGTGGTTCAGGCCCCTATATTACCCAATGGAACATACCAGTCTGTTCATGATTAAGACCCCCGGCTCCCGATCACATCTCCTATGCTCGGCTGTCTTCCTCGTCGCCATCCACTGAGCCGGAACATGCCGAAGCAGAACAGTCCTGCAGGATTGTTGGTCAAAGGTCAAGGGCATGGAGTTTAGAGTTTTGGGCGTGGGGCTCGTGTGTGTGACTACCGAACAGCACGACGCGGCGACGACGATGGAACAGCGATCAGGATGTAACAGCAACCACGAAGGCGTCAGTAAATACGCGACATTGACAATCGCCCCACCAAGCAGCAACTGCAGCAATTCACATGAACCTAAGTATTAGCATGGTCGTCGACTTGCAATAGCTCGTGCCATCAAACGGGCTTCAACTTCTGCTTGTTCCGTCGTTGCTAGGTTCAGAATTGCTTCCGTTCGATACAGTGCGTAACTTTCCTATTCGTTGTGCCAGCGACGTGCCGATACTGATTCCAGCTGCTGCTGCTGCTGCTGCTGCTGCTGCGCTCAGTGCACTAAGTGTTGGCGCACATGGTGCAGTTGGCCCGTTGTTGTTGGTTGTTTTTGCTGTTGCTTTTGCTGTTGACGTTGATGTTGCTGCTGCTGCGGTTGCTGTTTCTGCTGGTGTTGGTGTTGGTGTTGTTGTAGTTGCTATTGTCGCTGTTGCTGCTGCTGTTATTCTTGCTGCGGGTGCTGCCCTCAAACCCGAGCCCCGTGGCTATGAAAGTCTTACGCCCCCACTGAGCCGCCTCGTCGTCGTGATCAGCTTCAGAAGTCACGGGGGAGTTCTCTCGATGAAAATGTTCGGCATGTTGTCTCAACTTGTGCTGCACCTCCGACGCAGGTTCCAGGTTTGCCTGTTGTAAGCCTATAAACGCAACGGCGAGACTCGCAGCGAGATCCACTTTCTGAAGAACGAGTCTATAGACCCAGGACCAGAAACTCAACTCAAAACTCCAACACCCTAAACCACAGACAAGAGAGCCCGCTCCGCTGACGGCCTTCTTTATCAAAGAACGGGGCTTCGCCAAATGATCGTGCAGAAACATCAGGACGATCATGATGACCTAGGGCTGGCACTGGGGTTGATGACTACGTGAGTTCACGTCCTATCGATTTTCAGCTTAAGGATCTAGGATGTAGCGTTTACACTTAGTGCGTGGTGCCACTACCACTGCTTATAGTAACCCCACAAACCATCCTTACTAACCGTCGTTACTAGGCCAGCAGAGCGTCCAAGAAGGGAACTCTTCCTAAACCCGCGTGGCAGCCTTGTACAACCCTTAAAGGAACCCCTTTCAAGGAACCCTGATGGGCTAAACAGTCGAAATGGGAGTTTCCGAAAATAGGGACCCTAATATAGCACCCTTAATAATAGGATCCTCAAAAAAATGGCCAAGGTACCCCTAATTTTCGGAAACTCCCAAATTTTTCGTCAGGATGACCAGCTGCTGGGTTGTTTCAGGGGAATCCGAGCAGGGGACAAGGGGTGGGGCCGGGCCGGGCCCAGGGTTCCGGTAGGGGATGTGATGAGGGTTGCTGTAAGGGTTCTACTCTACTGGCCTGATTAAAGCAGGGTTTTGGGGGATGTTAGAACATTGAGCCCGGAGAGATAAGAATGTTGATAAATCACCATGCCTCGCAGGGAACCAACAAGCACGGAGCATGTGCAGGAAGCAACAAATAGCCCGTGGCACAAAAGAATGTTAAACAACCATGAACGAATCAAACAGGACACCCACCCAACTCCACACATGGTCCTACGTCCAACATAGGGCCCGGTCTTGTGATTTGTTTGTTGTGTTGCTGTTTCTGTGTTGTCTCAGCTGGTATCGGGAATTTTTTGGCTCCCACTTGATTCGCTTTGGCAATGTGGAGATGCACCGTTTCGCTGCTGGGTTTGTTTCGGTGTCGCTTTCGGTTGGTGCTCGCTCTCTCTTGACATATTGAGCTTCTTAGTCTAAGTGTTCTTTCTCGTCGAACCACTGTGCTTCCTCTTCCCGCATCTTTCGGATCATATCTTTCGGCTATATAGCAGACAAAATATATCTACATCTCTGTACATATGATTGTACACATACATGCATGTATCGGATATGGAGATGTGCGACAATCCCGGGGGTATCACGCACATATACCTAGCTATGTATCTATCTATCTATATCGATCTGTATCTATATATATATATATATATATATATAGATACATATGTATGATGTGTGTATGCATATGTATATATATATATATGTATATATATATATATATACATAATATATATATATATATATATATATATATATATATATATATATATATATATATGCTTGCATACATACATACATACATACGTACATAATACTATATATACCGAATCGGTCTATATGTCATGCACACGTACGAATGCACATGGATTCCCTAACTTCTTCACCAAACCTTCAATCCTAAGTGCGGAATTAGCGAATCCTTGTTGGCGAGCAAATCCAAGCCGCTGGAATTGGAAAAAGCAGGAGGTGATGGTCAATCTTCGGGGTCCTTGCTGGCTGAAGTTTTTGGTTTACGATCGCTAAACCCGGTTTAAATTACTGCTGGTCTCATCAAGTTTAGCCCGATCCCTTTGCATCCAGCCTGCAAAGCCTAGCCCGATCCCTACACTTCAAACCCTATAGGGACCCATCGAAAAGCTAATAACACCAGGCTCTAGGAAAGAACACGCACTGCCTTGACAGTCTGTACCCCCGCCCAAACTGTGCAGGACCCAAACTTCTGTGCAAATGCTCTCGGCTCGCTCCTGCACGACCCTAGACCCTTTGCCCTAAACACGTCCCCCAGCAACCTTGTCAAAGGATTGTATTTAAGTTACCATAATCATAACAAGGAAACGACCTTATCTTTTTGATAGATCCCTACTATGGTGGCTTCACAAGACTCCATTAACAAGAACCCAGTCATTAGATAAGTTTGTGGGCTCCAACATCCCTCTACTTCGGGGCAGTATAGGGGCTCGAATAATTAGAATTGGCGTTCTGAGGCCCATTGTGCTAATCATAATAAGGAACCCTCATAATAGTATAGGTACGTATTTAGGCCCCTATAGTATCATGTCATAATACCGAACCCTGCCGTTGGATTCTTCGGTCTCTGTAAAGTGGGCTCAGCCAGGCTTCAGCACTGCCCATGCACCAATGCAAGCGCCGCCAATGGTACCTGGTGGCTGTCAGGAGTCCTACAGATTGCAGGTCTCTCTGTTTATGTCCTTGGCACCGTCAGCAGAAGCATCCAAGTCGGCAACATCAGAACCATCGTCGTCATCATCATCATCATCATCACCATCGGAATCATCTTCAGCAGCAGCATGATTCTCATCGATTCCCGGCACGAACAACACTACAGACACCCCGAATGACATCCCCTTGACGATGGCCGCAGGCCACATCGCGCTCAAGGTCTTGGAGCTTTCATGTTAAGAGTTTCGGTGCCGTATTCATTGCCAGCATCAGCGACATCAAGCGCCGTCGTCTGGTTACAGCTTTGTTGTCTTTTACAGGACCAACATCCACGTCAGCGGCAACGATCTATCGTCACAAGCACCGTTTTCATCCGCCTCATCATCGCCACCATTGTAAGCTGCAACATCGTCTGCATCATGATGATGATGATGATGACGCTGCCAAAGTACATACTATATGGTGACTGTTACCCTGAACCCTAAACTTTAAACCCTACATTCGACTATGCTGGTACTTGGATCCTTTGGGTATTGGCAACCATCGTTTCAGGAGGGCCGCCGGCGATGACCATCGTACTCATCAGCATCTTCGCTCGCTCCTGTCGATGCGACACTTTCTTTTTCCCTCCTACTTGGCAAGGACGAAGCCCGCATTGCAGGGTACATGCATGCGACACTTGACCCTACCTTAGGGTGTTGCGGTTTAGGGCATGAGCCGCAACTTCGGCGGTTTCGAGCTTATGGAGCAGCACCAAGACCCGCACCTGTCACCACCTTGTAGCATTCTGGCGCCCTGGCCCTTGCCACCATGACATAAGGTAGATGATCATGTTCCGAACTCTCTTCGGCTACTGCAGGGGCCTCAACAAATTAGAATTGGGCTTTGCGGGTATACTATACTAGCAGTATCATAAGGAACCTGAGGAACAATACTTATTCCGACCCCTGCAGCATCCGAAGCCAAAGCGTGCAAGTGCCAACATGGTCGGCTCCCTTTGGGGACCCCCAAGTGTGTACTATACAGTTTTTGGGCCCTTGGAGGAAGCAAGCTTCTAGAATTCAGGCCGACTAAAATCCTGAAGAATAGTCTCAGCCTCAACCAAAAAAAGCACATCGCATCAAATGCGGGGATGATACGATTATGGAACCTAGGGGGTTTAGCGATTAGGATGTAGGATTTAGGATTTCAGGTTTAGATCACAATATGGCACTTCTTGCAATGTGTCCCTCCGGGATCTTGCTCTCCAACTCTTTTGGGCATCTAAAGTCCGATGGCCATCACCTTTCCCACTCTCTCTCGGGTTGGTGCCCATAGCTTCTTTACGGGCTCCTCTACGACTCTACGGGGTTCCACAGGGGTTCTGTCCCACATCTTCTTGCATGTCCAGCTTTATAGGGGAACTAAAGGTGAAGCTTTCGGGCTATATAAGGTTCATTGGGTCATAGCAGCACGAAGAATCTAAAAGTTCCCTAAATACTGTGCTACTACGTTTTGGGCTTTGGTGCTGCCAACAGCACCCCACAAATGCATGTGTGATTCGCCTCAGTTCTTCGGGTCGACGCAAAACATGAGCTGCAGGTGCTCAACATGTTTAAGCCCTGCGTGCCGAAGCTCTGAAAACCCCAACCCTAAATCCGGATTTCTAAACACCCCACCAAAAATGGCTGTAGTTCAAAGTCGGAACACTTCTTATACAAGGGGTTTACTCCTCGTTTCGCAACTTCACTCGGAGGATGATCTTCGCAAGGCCACCCACCAATGTCAGGGTGTGGCCAGTGACCATCCTTCAACAAAATGGGGCTCTGGTTTACCCTATAAGGGTCCACGTAGTCCTTGTCTATGGTTTTTGTTATGCCAAAAAGCCCAAAGTCCTGTAATTACAGGGAAGACTTGGACCCTTCGGGTTGGGGTTTCGGCGCTCGCTCTCACAATTCGGACAAGCCAGGCGAGGTAGGTCACAGGTGCGGGTCGGCGTCTCGGGTTTAGGCGGGGGTTTCTACTTAGAGGTTCTCATGGGTACTTATAAGTAGGGATATAAGTGGGGTAGCTATACTTATAACCCATGCTAGGGGACTTATAACCCCACTTATAACTACCCATGAACCTCCAAGTAGGAACCCTGAATCCCATCAACGCTGTGCAATCTCATAGCATCCTGTAGGTGCCCGGAGCCCTAGACCCAAACCCTAAACCCTAAGCCCCTAAACCCCCGGAGCCCTAGACCCAGCTTTCGTGAAGCTGCAGTAGGGCTTTGACGCTCACACTCGGATTCCACCTGGGGTTTAGGGCTTTCGAGCATGGGTTGTGGGTCTTACCAGAGGTGTACAGGCTTGGGCTGTAGGGTGTATCAGAGACTGCAAAGTTCATAAGCGATAAAATCATGCAGCGCAAGCCTTGAAACCAAAGGTATACAGAACCGCAGCACAAACCGTCCTTGAACCAAGCTCCAGGTTCTATCTGAGAGCATACTGTACTATAGGATTTTGGGTCCTGGACTTGAACCTACCTCCCCAATACCCTAAGCCCAAAACCCGCTAACAGGGCCCCCAATAAACACATAAGCAAAGATTAGGATTGGGATATTCCGTATAAACCCCCTTATAACGAAGCCCAATAGGGTCGGGGCATCCCTATAAAATGCTTCTGCTTATGTTGTTTCTGGGTCCCTCAGCAAACACCTTGGTAAGGAAGGTTCATGGGCCTGAAGCATACGTTTAGGGTTTAGGGGTTTAAGGGTTTAGGGGAGGTTCCGCAAATAGGGGACCCTAATATAGTACCCTCTATAGTAGGATCCTTCTTATAAGGATACCAAACTAAGGTACCCCTAATTTTCGGAAACTCCCATATCAGTTCAGGTGCCTTTGCAGTTTGGCTGGAGTTCATAAGCAGTGGGCATGTATGCAGAGGGCTGTAAACAGCTTACTTGAAGTCGTACTGGCTCTTCCGCCTGTGGTTCCCTTGCTCGCGATTTACGGCTTAGGGTTTTGGCTTAAGGGCTTAGCCTTCAAGCATGCAATGGACCCTGGGGTTTTGGGGCTCAAGGATTGCAATTACAGGCTTCGGGTTCAGGCCTTGGCTTTGAAAGCCGCGCGTTGCTTCTAGGGCTGCTTTGTGCTGAATGGCAAAGCAGTGAACAGGAGTTCTGCGCACGGGTCTATACAGTTTTCGGGGTCCTTTTCAGTTTCTGCTAGCTTGCAACAAAGAGAAGGTCATTGCCTCCTAGTTGAGACCGGACACAACATGCTCTCTCAGCCCTGCCTCTCGGCCCCTCCAATATGTATGACCAGTGTCTCACGCTCTCAACCCCAAGCCCCAGCACCAGCCTTTCGAGGCCTTGAATCCAAGGAGTTACAGTAAACCCCATAAAGTTGGAAACAGGACTAAGGCCAAATAGTGCTGGGATTCCCCATAGTTTACTCTTTAAGAATTGAAGCTATTCGGTTTCCAACCCTAAACCCTAAACCCCCTAAACCCTAAACCAACTTTTGGGCTTCTACTGTAAGCCTTGTGGACTCAGTCGGGGGAGCCCTTCCTGGGACTGGGGGATATGGAGGGTTGCGCTGGAAGAATTCCGTTTCTGCCACCACAACTACCTGGACCCCAGAAGTAGAAGTCGAAACAAAGGAAATATATATATATATATATATATATATATATTATATTATATTATATTATATTCAAAAAAAGATAAAGTAAAAGGCCCACCAGAAAGGCTGAATTTGCTTAATGTATAATAATAGCCTTTTGTGGGTATTGGGCCATTATTTTACCTACTTTGGGCGGTTTAGGGTAGCTAGTGAGGGCTCCAAGCCCGCAAGACATGCAGCACCCAAAGAACAGCAAAGATGCCCTTCAACATTCCAAGCTTCGTCGTGTGGATGCCCATGCGGCCGTTGCTGCAGGCCGATGCCACTACACCGAAAAGGGCCGAAACGGCCTCAGTCCCAAAAGTCACATCGATTCCTTCTAAAACCCGTTCTCCCCGTATCGTATAAAAGGTTCCCACCCCAAAAAGCATATGCAAACCTGATCTCGGTGCCGAAGCTTTGATATTGGGGGGGGGGGTGGGCATCCGGGTATGGGTAAGGAGCCAGGCAGTCAGACAAGGAAATAACTAGGGACACGGAGCTTTCGGTTTAGTATTTCGTAAGCCCTAAAGCCCTGGCTCTAAACCATGGCTGCTAAGCACTAAAGATCAAGCCCTAAACCCTAAAATCTAAAGCCCTAAGCCCTATTCCTTAAGCCGTACGCCCTAAAGCCCTGGTCCCATCGGTTTCGTTCTACCGTAGTCTTGGCATAAATACAAAGTAATATACAACCCTAGCTCCCTCCTAATGGTTCTACTTCACTTTCAATTGTGGGCCCGAAGCCGCAACATTCCGGGGGCCGGAGGTTTTTGCACTAGGGTGGCGTTAATGTTAGGGGAAAGGGGTTAGATTCCATATTGCCCAGCAAGTTCACATCAATGCGTGCTCTGGCACGCGCGAGTGTGCTCAGAACTTTTGTGAACAAATGCCAAATGCCAAAAACTAAACCCCAACAGATTCCCTAAAACCCCCAACAGTTCCTGATTTTTGTGCGAGGCGGCGACCTCAAACCCAAAGCCCTGCGTTTGGTTTGTGGAGAAACGTTCGGGGGCCAAGTTTCCATGTGCAAATGAGTTGCAGGTGGATAAGACAAGGAGTGAGGCTGGTGAGCTAAGCCAAGCTAGCCAATAGGCTGGATCACTATGTGGCCGGATTGCAAATAAAAGTGTGAACGGCACCAGCAGCAGCAGCAGTAGTGGTCGTCGTCGTGGTGGGTCGCAGTAGTCGTAGTGCTCGGCGTGGAAGTCGTAGTCGTCGTCGCCGTCGTAGTGGTTGTGGTCGTAATTATTACTTTGCCTTCTACTACTAGTAGTATCAGTCGTAGTAGTAGTAGTAGTAGTAGTAGTAGCAGTAGTGGTAGTGGTAGTGGTAGTGGTAGTGGTAGTGGTAGTGGTAGTGGTAGTGGTAGTGGTAGTGGTAGGGGTAGGGGTAGGGGTAGGGGTAGGGGTAGGGGTAGTGGTAGTGGTAGTGGTAGTGGTAGTGGTAGCGGTAGCAGTAGTAATAGTAGTAGTAGTAGTAGTAGTAGTAGTAGTAGTAGTAGTAGTAGCCGTAGTAGCAATAGTAGCAGTAGTAATAATAGTAGCAGGAGCAGTAGCTGTTGCAGTAGTAGTGGTAGTGGTCCTCGTAGTCCCAGTACCAGTCCCACTATCAGCACCAGTACCCGCACGCATACGCGTACGCGTACTAGTACTAGTACTGGTACCTGTACCAGGTACTAGGTACTAGGACTAGGACTGTACTTGGTTCATACTGGTACTAGTGCTAGTGCGAGTAGTAGTACTAGTACTAGTACCAGCAGCAGCAGCAGCAGCAGCAGCAGCGAAAGAAGCCAGGCATGCTGGTGGCCGTCGGCGTCACAATAGTAGTAGCAGAGGCTACAAGTAGAGCAGCATAGCGACAGCAGGAGTTGCGATAACATTCGAGAAGCTGCGAGTAGTGTCGGCCCGCCGCCTACCATAAGTAGCATTCTTGTTGACAGCCACGTCGCAACAGCAGCATGTACATACATGTAAACGTCGTCATCGAGTTCGTTTATGTCGGCGCCGTCGTCGTCACCGGTGCCGGGCTCTGTCAACATTGACGATGTCGTAGCTGACGTCGGGCTAGTGGATGCAATCGTCGGAATCGTGGCGGTTGTCGTCGTCGGTACGATTGCTTTCGTCATGTGCCTTGTCGTATTCGCTCTCTTGAACATGTTCTTCTGATGGCACGATTCATCACGAACCTCCCTGCTGAGTGAGATTCGGAAAGGTCTGGATTACTATCTTATCACTGCATAACCTCCTACAGGGGCTAGCTTCTGGTAATCCTCCCAAGCCCGAGCTCAAGTCCAGGCAAGTCGCAACGACCCCATACTTCAGGGTATCCTTGCAAAACAGTGGACCGAAACTTGTTAGGCTTGGGCATGGGGGCTTCTGGGAAGCCTTTGCAAGTCCTTCCTGCGCCGCTCCGGTCGTTCCGTGATGGTGGAGTCTCTTTCTGCTTCAAGGCGCAAGGGTATGGAACTGCTAATCTTGGAGGGTGTGTCGCGTCGGAGGCTTACATGTTGCAGAGTGCGAACGGTGCTGTCATAAAATTTCAAAGTCTCAGGTGTCCGGCGAAATCCTGCGGCAGCGTGGTTACGAAGAGAAACGAAAACCGCTTGTTTACAGGAGGCTTTGCTAGATGCCCAGAAACAATCCCAATATACATACATATATATATATACATATATATATATATACATATATATATATATATACAGTTATAATAGATAGAACCCTTTGCAGGAAGGGGTGTGGATTGTCTTGTCCTGCTCGCTCTGGACTACAGCGACCGACTACTTTGGAATCGAAGCCTCAGTCAGTCCCAGTCCACAGCGTAAATATACTCTTCCTTACCCAGGAACACAAGCTAAGACGGGTAACCTTGGAGAATTTACCCTAAACCCTGATGCTAAACATTGCTAAACTGACGATATGGGAGTTTCTGAAAATAGAGGACCCTAATATAGTACCCTAAATAGTAGGATCCTTATTATAAGGACCCCCAAAAGATGTACCCCCCCCCCAATTTTCGGCAACTCCCATATAGCGATCGCATCTAGCGACCTGAAATCCCTAAGCCCTTTTGCAACTGGCCTGCGGCGACTCCGCCAGGACAACCCTAAGCCCTAAACCCCTAAACCCGAAACTCTACATGAACCCTACTTTCTGCCTCCCGCTTGGCAGGCTAGGACGAAATATATAGACCCGATACCTCTCCAGGTTTCCCTAGTTTGATTGATTACTTGTGCCTGCCCTCAAAGGGACAAACTTTGTAGTTTATGTAAACCCCTATGAAGGCCTTCTTGTTGACGTTCCTTGCTATGACTACTTAGTCGGACCGGTAAAAGTATAACTTATGCAAGTTGCTTTTTTCAATAGGAGGCAGGAAACCCTAAACCCCTAAACCCGAAACCCTGCCGCCCAGGAGTCTTGATGCCACTCGCCCTCAGTGAAGAAGTACACAACCTCCACGATCAGCATTGCAATGGCCAAACTCGGTAAGGATCCGCGAAGCTTTGCGCTTGGGACTCGGTGTTTATCAGGGTTGGGGGTGTAAGGCTGAGGGCTTAGTTTTCAAAAGGGTGCAAGGCTTTCGTAGGGCATGTGGCATAAAGCCACAGGCCGTAAATTCGGGCATGGGTTGGTACCCGCAAGGTCATAGTGTAGGCTTTCAGGATTCATGAGGTAAGGAGGCTCGAGTTTTGACCGGGGTGCGTGGAGGCCAGGACTGCAGTAAGTAAGACGACTCAAGCTGAATGAAGTACGATGCGGCAGCGCATGCCGCACTTAGAACCGAAGAAGAAAGCACGTGTTGCGAGCAAGAGGCGGTGCAGTTGATATGGAGCCACCACGGTTCGGCCGGATGAGCCTTAGTGCCGAGCAACAACTCATCAGTTTATGAGTCCTTCATGAACTCCGTGGTTTGGGACTTTCCCTTCAAGTTTAGGGTTTAGGGTTTCGGGTTTGGGAAATGGTTTGGGAATTGATACTGCGGGTTTAGACGGCTCTCTCTAGAGCTTAACCAAACCGCTTGCAACTAAACACCCTTTGCTGCAGGCTTGCATGCAAGGAGGCCTGGTAGTTCGCCGCTTTCCAAACTAAAGACCCTAAACCCCGAAAACCTAAACCCCAGACCTCGAAAGCCGAAGTTCCAGACCTAAAAATCACACGCTATGTAAGCCCTTTGAACGGATTCAGTTTTCGAGCGGGCTAGAGAGTCAATGCTAAATTCTTGACCCTGTAAAGCCTGAACCCTTCTGCACCACAATTCTCATCAGAAATTCTCAACGTATACAATACACTCGGACCGTAGAAAAACATCTGGATATGGGGCCGTTATTCGTAGGATTTGCGGGAGGCGTGTCTGTAGAAAAGCCGAAAAAGCCACAGCCTTCGCGCAGCAAACACAACTCAAATACTTTTCTAAGAAGTTCACAAACTCCAAAACCAACGAGGCCATGTTCTGGAATCTCGGGTCTGCAAAATTCCGACACTTCCCCCTCCCAGAATTCCAAAACTTGGTTTCGTGGGCTTGGGGATTCGATACAATTCACGAATTGCGAAGCATCTCACCAAGGATTCGGCAATGACCCCTACCTTGCACAGACTTGACGCATAAGCAATCGCAAATACCAAGCCGTCGCAAGGATTTCAATGGACAGGTTGGTTCGCTTAAACAACTTAATTGCTACTATATATAGATACATAGATAGATAAAGATAAGTGGGGATACATACATGTATATAAAAATATATATAAATGTATATATATAGATATGCATATGTATGTATCCCCACATATATATATATATATATACATATGTATACACACTCAGCCTATAAACCACAAGGGCACTCCGGCTCAGGCACCAGCCCAGATCTCAGCAAACCTAAACCCCATTTCACTCTAAACCATACGCATGAAACCCTCTTGAACCATCCATCAATAAACCATGAGGATGGATAATTAACCTCAAACCCCAAAGCCCTAAACCCTACCCCAAAACCCCCAAAACCCCAAACCTTAATCCGCAACACCCTCTTGAAACATCCATGAATAAACCCCGAACCGTAAAGCCCTGGGAACTTCTCCAGCAAAGCCTGAAACCCTGAACCCCAAACCCCTAAAACCGTACTTTGAAGCAACAAATCCTCAAACCCTAAACCATATACATCCGGAACCATAAAAACTAAAAACCCCAAAACCCTAAACCCTTATAGATCCCTTATAGGAAACCCTTAAAGAATCCCTTTCAAGGAACCCTAAAAGCTAAGACCCCAAAAAGCCGGCAAAGGCGCTCAAAGAGACGATGGAGAAAGGCCCCGAAGGCAAAGGAGAAGATGATGGCAACCTGGGGTTGGTTTAGGGCTTCCTTGTTTTTTTTTTGGTGTTTAGGGTTTCTTTGGTGTTATCAGGGTTTAGGGCTTCTTTTTTTTTTGGTGTTTAGGGCTTCTTTGGTGTTATCAGGGTTTAGGGCTTCTTTGTTTTTTTGGTGTTTAGGGTTTCTTTGGTGTTATCAGGGTTTAGGGCTTCTTTGTTTTTGTTTTGGTGTTTAGGGTTTCTTTGGTGTTATCAGGGTTTAGGGCTTCTTTGTTTTTTTTGGTGTTTAGGGTTTCTTTGGTGTTATCAGGGTTTAGGGCTTCTTTGTTTTTTTTTGTGTTTAGGGTTTCTTTGGTGTTATCAGGGTTTAGGGCTTCTTTGTTTTTTTTGGTGTTTAGGGTTTCTTTGGTGTTATCAGGGTTTAGGGCTTCTTTGTTTTTTTTTGGTTTTTGTTTAGGGTTTCTTTGGTGTTATCAGGGTTTAGGGCTTCTTTGTTTTTAGGGTTTGGTGTTTAGGGTTTCTTTGGTGTTATCAGGGTTTAGGGCTTCTTTGTTCTTTTTGGTGTTTAGGGTTTCTTTGGTGTTATCAGGGTTTAGGGCTTCTTTGTTTTTTTTTTTTGGTGTTTAGGGTTTCTTTGGTGTTATCAGGGCTTAAGGCTTCTTTGTTTTTTTTTGGTGTTTAGGGTTTCCTTGGTGTTATCAGGGTTTAGGGCTTCTTTGTTTTTTTTGGTGTTTAGGTTTTCTTTGGTGTTATAAGGGTTGAGGGCTTCTTTGTTTTTGTTTTGGTGTTTAGGGTTTCTTTGATGTTATCAGGGTTTAGGGCTTCTTTGTTTTTTTTTGGTGTTTAGGGTTTCTTTGGTGTTATCAGAGTTTAGGGCTTCTTTGTTTTTTTTTGGTGTTTAGGGTTTCTTTGGTGTTATCAGGGTTTAGGGCTTCTTTTTTTTTGTGTTTAGGGTTTCTTTGGTGTTATCAGGGTTTAGGGCTTCTTTTTTTGGGTGTTTAGGGTTTCTCTTTGGTGTTATCAGGGTTTAGGGCTTCTTTGTTTTTTTTTTTTGGTGTTTAGGGTTTCTCTTTGGTGTTATCAGGGTTTAGGGCTTCTTTGTTTTTTTTTTGGTGTTTAGGGTTTCTTTGGTGTTATCAGGGTTTAGGGGCTTCTTTGTTTTTTTTTTTGTGTTTAGGGTTTCTTTGGTGTTATCAGGGTTTAGGGCTTCTTTGTTTTTATTTGGTGTTTAGGGTTTCTTTGGTGTTATCAGGGTTTAGGGCTTCTTTGTTTTTTTTTGGTGTTTAGGGTTTCTTTGGTGTTATCAGGGTTTAGGGCTTCTTTGTTTTTTTTTTTGTTGTGTTTAGGGTTTCTTTGGTGTTATCAGGGTTTAGGGCTTCTTTTTTTTTTTTTGTGGTGTTTAGGGTTTCTTTGGTGTTATCAGGGTTTAGGGCTTCTTTGTTTTTTTTTGGTGTTTAGGGTTTCTTTGCTGGGTTATCAGGGTTTAGGGCTTCTTTGTTTTTTGGGTGTTTAGGGTTTCTTTGGTGTTATCAGGGTTTAGGGCTTCTTTGTTTTTGTTTTTTGGTGTTTAGGGTTTCTTTGGTGTTATCAGGGTTTAGGGCTTCTTTGTTTTTTTTTGGTGTTTCGACTCGCACACTCGCTCTCGCAGGCACGGCTCCAGAGTCTCCACTGGTACCAGGGTTTCTTTGGTGTTATCAGGGTTTAGGGCTTCTTTGTTTTTCTTTTGGTGTTTAGGGTTTCTTTGGTGTTATCAGGGTTTAGGGCTTCTTTGTTTTTTTTTTTGGTGTTTAGGGTTTTTGGGTGGGTTTAGGGCTTCTTTGTTTTTTTTTGGTGTTTAGGGTTTCTTTGGTGTATCAGGGTTTAGGGCTTCTTTGTTTTTTTTTTGGGTTTAGGGTTTCTTTGGTGTTATCAGGGTTTAGGGCTTCTTTGTTTTTTGTTTTTGGTGTTTAGGGTTTCTTTGGTGTTATCAGGGTTTAGGGCTTCTTTGTTTTTTTTTTGGTGTTTAGGGTTTCTTTGCTGTTATCAGGGTTTAGGGCTTCTTTGTTTTTTTTTTTGGTGTTTAGGGTTTCTTTGGTGTTAACAGGGTTTAGGGCTTCTTTGTTTTTTTGGAGGTGTTTAGGGTTTTTTGCTGTTATCAGGGTTTAGGGGCTTCTTTGTTTTTTTTTGGTGTTTAGGGCTTCTTTGCTGTTATAAGGGTTTAGGGGCTTCTTTGTTTTTTTTTGGTGTTTAGGGTTTCTTTGCTGTTATCAGGGTTTAGGGGCTGCTTTGTTTTTTTTTTTGGTGTTGAGGGTTTCTTTGCTGTTATCAGGGTTTAGGGCTTCTTTGTTTTTTGGGTGTTTAGGGTTTCTTTGGTGTTATCAGGGTTTAGGGCTTCTTTGTTTTTTGGGTGTTTAGGGTTTCTTTGGTGTTATCAGGGTTTGGGGCTTCTTTGTTTTTTGTGTTTTTAGGGGTTCTTTGGTGTTATCAGGGTCTAGGGTTTCTTTGTTCTTTTTGGTTTAGGGTCTTTTTTGCCTCCCGCCTGACTAGGACGAACCTACGATGCGGGTCTGTTGACTGCTTACAGTACAAGACTGACCTAGAGGGTCACATAGCCTACCCCCTTTTTTAGGGTACCTAAATTTATGGTTAGGATCTCCTATATAGAAAATTAGGTACCTTAAGAAAGGGGTAGGGTATGAGCCTATAGGGACTGTACATTACCGAGACAAACTTCGTAGCCGTTTGGCTGAGTCGTTGTCGATTGGGAGGTCGTCAACGCGACGACGGATGCTGTCTGCTTCCTGGGCAACCACCCAGAGACTCCAATATCCCTTAATTAAGGAATATACCTGAACTTATGGTAGGATCCCTGATATGATTTAAGGAATACTCCTTAATTAAGGGATATTGGAGTCTCTGGGCAGCTTGTCTGCCAAGTTGGCTCTGGTCTCGCGGATCATCGGGACTATTGTGCTCAGGAGGCTTCTGGCTTCCAGATTCACTGGCCGTTGTGCTTCTCGGCCTTCTGTTCAGCTCGCGTGAGGTTCATGTGGTTCTCGTTGGAGCTCTTTTTGCAGGCTGCCGCTCAGTGCATCTACAAGGCGGTCGAGGGCAATGAGCTTTTCAGAGAGCTCAGCAATCCGCGGGTTCCTTTAAAGGGATCTATCAGAGTTCCGTTAAAGGGATCTATATGCTTTCGGTAAGGCAAAGGAGAAGATGATGGCAACCTGGGGTTGGTTTAGGGCTTTGTTTTTTGGGTGTTTAAGGTTTCTTTGCTGTTATCAGGGTTTAGGTTTTATTTGTTTTTCTGGGCGGTTTACAAAAGGGTTTATAGGGTTTCTTGTTTTGTGCAAGGTTTAGATTAGAGTTTCTGTGCTTTTGTTGAGGGTTTACGGTTTATAGCGTATCTTGCTTTGTTTAAAGTTTAGGGCTTCTTTGTTGTCTTTGAGGGATCAGGGTTTATAAGGTGTCTTGTTTTGTTTAAGGTATAAGGTTTAGGGTTTCGGGTTTACAGGGTCTGGGTTTAGGGGTTTGTCTGGGTTTCTTGTTTTGCTCAGGTTTAGGGTTTGGGGTTTATGGTGTCTAGGGTTTAGGGGTTTGTCTGGGTTTCTTGTTCTGCTTAAAGTTTATAGGGTTTGGGATTCATAGGGTCTAGCGTGTATTGGTTTGTCTGCTTTTCTTGTTTTGTTTAAGGCTTAGGGCTTGGGGTTGATAGGGTCCAGGGTTTAGGGGCTTGTCTGGGTTTCTTGTTTTGTTTAAGGATTAGGGCTTGGGGGTTTATAAGGTCTAGGGTTTAGGGGTTTGTCTGGGTTTCTTGTTTTGTTTAAGGATCAGGGCCTAGGGTATAGGGTCCAGGCTTTAGGGGGTTGTCTGGGTATCCCTCCTACTCAGGTCAGGGTTTAGGGTTTACGGGGTTCTGGGTTTAGGGTTCCGCTTTCTACGCACTTTTTAGGTTCATTCGGGTTTTAGCCTTCAGGGTTTTAGGGTTTGCGGTACAGGGATGGAAGGGCTTTGAAGGACATCCTGGAGTTTTGTGAAGGGTTTACGATTGGTTTGTTGAAGGGTTTGGGGTTTGTGGAAACCTTGTTCTGTTCAAGGTTTAAGGTTTTGGGTTATTTATAGGGTCTAGGGTTTAGGGATTTGTCTGGGCTTCTTGTTCTGGGGTTTACGCGGTTGTTCGGGTTTACCTATGGGTTGTCTGGGTTTAAGGTTCTGGTTTCTACGCACTTTTTAGGCTCATATGACTTCCAGCTTTTTTGCCTCCTGCATGGCTTCCAGTTTTAGCATTCAGGGCTTTAGGGTTTACGGTATAGAGGTTGAAGGGCTTTGAAGGACATCCTGGGGGTTTTGTGAAGGGTTTAGGGTTTAGGGTGCTAAGGGTCGTGGGGGTTCCAGTGTCCTTCAGGGTTTGGAGCTTTGAGGGGCTTGGATTTTATGATATAGGGCTTGAAGAGGTTACTATGGGGGCTGGTGCGAGGCTTACTAGAAGGGTTACTAGAAGGTGGGTGATGTCGGGATGCGGCTATGAGGGTTGCTAGAAGAGTGGCTGTAAGGCTTAGGGCTCGGGCAGTTTAGGGTAGCCCTGTAGGTCAGAGGCCAAAATTGCTGTGATGGTTTTGCAGGGGTTGCACTACTGTAAGGGGTACTATAAGGGTACTGCAGGTTTAAACCAATCCCTGAGATCTTTCAGACGACTGCAACAAAGTTAGACAGCCTTACGGGTATCCTTTAGGGGCCTAAGGCTTCAGGTCTGCATAACTAATAAACTAGATAGCTTATCGTGCCCCAGTTATCGTAGCCCAAGAGCCCTTGTTTTCCATGAAGACAGCTTGGCGGTAAATCGTGTGCCTGAAGACCGGCCGTAAGAACAAAGTACAAACAACATAAGTACATTGAGAGGGCTGCACTGTCACTTGCACTAGACCCCAAACCCTCGAACCCAAAACCCTGGGATCAGGCCCAAGAGGCGTAGAAAAATGGGGAATGCTTTTGCGCTGCATCGCTATCGATGATGGAGCGGCCCAGCCAAACGACGTTCCCGGTAAGGATGCTCGAGAAGGCCTGCGGATTTCGAAACCTTTCGGTGCTAAAGATCAAGATGCTCAGAGTCTCAAGCCTTTAGACGGAGCAGCCGTTGAGAACCCACGGTTGTGAGGCAGCAACTAATATGTGACGTTCAGAGACTGCTGGAGTGACTTCGGCTGGGGGCGTAAATGGAGTCCTTGGGGCCTGAACAGGGGGGGGGGTTGGCGTTTGCCCTCGTGTGCACTTTGCAACGACTCGGCTATAGAAGTCTGACAATTGGAGTGGTAATTCGCGCGCTGTAACCCACTGCACGATGCCCGGGCCTACGAGAGCAAAGTCCCTAAACAATGATCCTGTACCCTGCTCGAACTACTTCGTAAAGGATTCTTCGGCATTAGGCTCCGGCCCCTGGTCCTTGTGACGACGCCTTATCCTGGGGTGACCAAAGTGCGACTATATGATATGATCTTATATTATACCACGTTATATCCAGGTATATTACAGAGAGTTGCACCAAAGCCTCAGCCGCAAAGTGCGGAAACGGTCCTAGAGGCTTGTCATCGCGGCCGAACCCAAACCCCGAACGACGACCATGATGATGATACCAAAGTCGCCGCTCGCCGAGATCCAAGCCCAAAACCACGTGGGCTAGGTTTGCGGTTTCAGGATAGCGGCTTCGGTTTTGAAACCAAATCTAGCGAGCTTCAAAGAACCAGAAAGCCTCTTGAGGCTACTCTGAAGGGTCACGCGGGCAGTCAAAACAATCAAGAGTCCGTCCTGGTACCGCACGAGGCTTACCACATCAGCATATCCGGCAACGAGCGCCATCCTTCGCTTAGCGGATCCCAGAGACTCCAATATCCCTTAATTAAGGAATATTCCTTAAATTATAGTAGGATCCTTGATATGATTTCACGATTATTCGCTAATTCAGGGCTATTGGAGTCTCTGGGATTTTGGAATGGTCTCTTCAGGGGACGAAGGGCAGGGTAGGAGGCACCAAGTACGTGCGCGGCAGTTGCCTTGGGAACAGCCTGTAACCCATTCGTTCCAGTCAAGATTCGGAGGCTCACTTTTGCAATACATTCGCAAACTTCGCATTCCAAGCAATGCTGGATTGACAGCACAGTCTCCTTCGACTGCCTCCCCTGATTCCCAAACCCGAAACCCAGCTACATCCCCTAAATCATTAAACCCCCACCCTTAAACCCACAGCCCAAATCAGAGCCCGGCCCTCTGTTTCCCCCCAGGTGTCAGAACGGCTGGACGAAAACTTCCATGTGGCTTAGGGTTTAGGACTATTTCCAGAACGCCCCCATTGCAGCCAAGTCCGAGTCGTATTTGCAATGCATCGAAACTAGGCATTCGAATGCTGAAGAGTCTGGGGTTTTGGGTGAACCCTGGCCCTAGCTGAATGCATCGAAAACGGGCTTTCCAATGCTGACGGGTTTAGGGTTTCGGGTTTTGGTTTGGGTGAACCTTGGCCCTCGCTAAATGGCAAAGTCCCCCAGCCGATGAATTCCAGCCGAGGTGGCATCGTAGCCATCCAGGCATGCCTCGGTACCGAGGTTTCAGCTATAGGGTGAGGGGGGTTTGGCGAGTTTACTCTGCCGTAAGTCCAGACCGCGAGGGCAAAAAAACAAAATACCACCACATCCTGAACACAAAACCCGACATGAGCCCGCAGCGGCAACCCCAAAACATGCCAAAACACCAGATTACTGATTTCATGTAGACCCGACACTCCAAACAGTGATTTCTAAGGCCCATCGCACATGTAACGGTAAAGTTCAAAACCCTTACATAGGAGTGAGCCTCTAAACTTCGATTCACCACCGACCGCTGAATCGGCTTGAAGGATCAGGTGACATGGTCAGAACGGATATGCGAGAGGTGGCTATATGCAGAGTCTACTTCTAACACCAAACATACAGTACCCATGACAAGCACCGCAAACGGCAAGTGCCAGAAGTCCTGGTGTAGCGCATTGTCCCAAACCTATTTGAGCATTGAGGCCTTTCCGGCCTTACAGTGCTCTGAACCTACTTGCTGTTGAGCAGCTCTTCGGAAAGCTAAAGGCAACTATATTATAGCACCACGTAAACCCTTTAAAACAAGCCCGTTTGTAGAACCCCAGAGTACTCGTCAACAGCCCAATACGTTTTTGGAATACACTCGCCAAAGATGAACCCTATAGCCTGGCGATCGAAGCCCTGGAAATCCCAGTGAAGGCCTATAGGAATCATGGAGGCTCCTATCTTCAGTATGCAAGATAAGGATGCTGATGCTCAGACTCGTTTTTTTTTGGGGGGGGTGACTATGAGCTGTTACTAACTGTTCAAACCTCTATGTCTGTTCTGCCCGGCTGCCTGGAGTATCTTCATATGTACACACGTACGGGGTTCGCTGTGTGCGTGTGTGTGTGTGTGTGTGTGTGTGTTTGTGTTTGTGTTTGTGAGGGTGTTTGAATAATGAATCCAAAGCAATGAAACAACATGAAACAAGTATTATCGAACAATGCATGCATGCATGCAAGGGTGAGTGTATGCATGTAAGTATGGTCAGACGAAAGAACTCATGCAAACGAGGTATTACAAACAAAATGGCCACTGAAGGCCACAACAAGGGCTCCGTAGGACTTAGGAAGAGCTGCTTTTGAAAGCGCCATTCTTCGCTGGACACCATGGCGACGTAGCAACTACTCAGCCGGGCTGTCCTGTGAACTTGTACTGGGCTTAGGGCTGCTCTCCCTCCGAATCCAGGACTATGCCCGTTGTCCGTGTGTAAGGGGTGTCGGGTTGAGGGCTTTAAGCTGATGTGGTATGCCTTCTTGCTAGCTTCTGAGCTGCGCAGCATCGTAACCCCAACGAAATGGGAAAACTGTCCAGAGCTTTGCCGTCCATTGAATATGACCCCGTGTAGCCACCCCGGAAGACTGAAAGAAACACAAGCACGAGCCATGAAACGCAGTATACTAATATGGTCCTGAACATATGAATGAGGTGTTGGGCAGAATAGACACGATGAGGGGCACAGAACTACGAGTTCTTTCAAGCCTCCTAGTAAATCCGACTGCACCGAGACTTGCAGCTGAAGCCTAGCGTAATAGCAGGATTGGCTGAGGCAGCCTGAACCCTGCAACCCCTAATACAGGGGCCTTAATGATTAGAATAGGGTTCTGGGGCCCAATATACTACAAATATAATTAGGACCTCCCAAAACAGTATAGGTAATTATTTAGGCCCCCATACTACCCTACTGTAGGAGCCTGATTAAGAAACCTTGGGCCTTTGTTTGGGTTCCTTACATGAGCCCTACTATTCTGGGGGTTGCAGGCCCAGGTTTTCTAAATCAAGTTCCTACATTAATCCAGAGCAAGAAAACCTAAACCCGATGTAAACCCAGATCAAAAACAAATCAAGCCTTCGGAACAAATTTGCATCCGTAAACAGCCAAGCCCGCAAACCCCTAAATCGGAGGATACCCCCCCCCCCCCGCCCCATACCCGACCCTACGTAACCCTAAACCCTAAACCCCGAACACCACAAAATCCAACACAATCCTGAACTTGTGGCCTGGGTCCTTACTTCCTTGGTGATATATGGGAGTTTCCAAAAATAGGGGACCCTAATAGAGCACCCTAGATAGTAGGATCCTTATAATGAAGGACCCCCAAAATCAGATACTCCTAATTTTCGGAAACTCCCGTATATTAGCAGTCGTATCGAAGCTCCCTAGGTTGTATAACCCTACAGCCCCCAAAACCCCTAAGACCTGGGTGGAAGTTTCAGGGTCCCCGGCTTCCTGGTGTCATGGAGGGTACGTTTTGGATGTTGAAGTCAAGTGGAAGCACAAGGGATGCAAAATCCCAACGCGGCGTCAGCCTCTGCCGGCTTTGCATCTGCGTTTTTGGAGCTATGTGCCTCCAGTGCCTGCCCAAAGGCGGATGTCGGATGTTCGATGGCTTGAGTGCTTCTATGTAGTTACAGGCTTAGTGTTGCACTGCTCTATAGGTCATATTTTCGTAATTCGTGAGACACAAACGTTTGTGGCTTTAGATGAGGCCGGCCGTAAGGCAAGTAACATGAGTCAGGCAAGAGAGTATTCAAAGACGTGTTCATGTAACACTTACAAAACGTGACCAGGCCCTGAACACTGAAACATGTACACGGCACCATTAGGATAGATGTCGGATAGCACACCACGCAAAATTGCATCAAGCATGCGGAATGTCATGTGCGTACGCCCTGAGCAAGCCCTGCACGCAACAGCCCTTGAGTGCAACCCTCAAGGCAACTAAGGTAACAGCTAATTCAAGGACCCTCAAACCCAAACAACCTCAACACAGTCCTACAACTCCTAGTATCACTCCCTAAGTCAACGAGTAGCTTAAACCTGTAGAAGAGAGGGGCCTCCAGGAGAATGTTAACATCCACGTGGATTCCTCCGGAATTCTGGGTACCAGGCTGAGGGTTGTCCGGGCCAATTGTCAAACGTCGGGCCCAAAAGACATACCTGACCAGAAACAGTGAAGCCTACCCCGCGCCCCGCAGGGATTTTACTGTGGCCAGGTTCTGGTGCGAATTGCTCGGCTCGCATCCTATGGGGGCCAAGCTTTGCTTGGTAATTGGCCGCTGTGATATGATGTCCCAAAACCTGACAGGCTTCCCACGCACTGCTATAATTAGAATAGTATTTGTGTTTCTTAGAGTCTTTAATATGTGAACATGGTACAGGCTACAGTCTACAGTATGCCCTGAACCCTTATTGTTCAGGCCCCGATGATACACTGATACACCATGCGGGTTTGAGTCTCCCTGCCTTCAGCACAGACCTATGATAACTTGGAGGTTCATGCGTTCATGCGTAGTTATAAGTAGGGATATACGTGGGGTAACTGTACTTACAAGCCACATTATAGCGGACTTATAAGCCCACTTAGAATTTATAACCACTTAGAATTTATAACTACCCATGAACCGCCAAGAATCCTTTGTGAAGTAAGCGTATGTATTCATCAGGGGTTTACATTAAGCCATTCCCACCTGCAAAATCCCTAACGGTCCAAAGATGTCCAACGTATCCAATAATTTTTCCCTCCTACCTAGCAAGGACGAAGCCCGCATTGCAGGGAATCTTGGTTGAACAGCAGAACAGCCACGTTTTTCTTCGCAGCTAATTTGACCCTTTCGAGCAGAAAGTAACTTGATGACTGCCAGCTCAAAAGAATCAGACATCAAGCATTACGCATCCTATAATTAGGTACTCGGGTTTGGGATAGTAGCTATGTTAGTCATGTAGTTCTGAGATTATATGATACTTCAGTACTTGGACCCTTAGGGAATCAAATCCCATCCGTCCTTTGACGTCGAGCCCGCTGCCTGCAGCAATCCGCCGCTCAACTTCAGCGACCATCTTCGCACCCTCGCTCGAGGAGTTACAGTTTTTGGAAGTTGTTAGGCGTTTTTGTATTTTTCCCTCCTACTTAGCAAGCACGAAGCCCGCATCGCTTTATAGTCATAAGGTCTAGGGTGCAGCCTAAACCCTTAACCCAAAGCCGTCATTCAACCCTAAGCCCTAAGCTTTCAGACAACTCGAGGCGACTCTTGGACAGCACCCTAAGCACGACTAAGCCAGCAGTATTGCACCCTTAACGTAAGGGCCATAATCATTAGGACAGGGTTTTGGGGGTCCCTTCTAACAGTTCTGTCATATATACCCCAAACCCTCTTCCAACTATGGAGGCCCCTACATTATAGTCCGCTTTGAAACAGTTTGCTATAAGAAAGGCCCCCAAACGCCTTTCCAAAAAAACCCTTGCTTGTTGA